CTGTTAAAGAAAACTACCAAAATAAGGCCAATGAAATGAACCGTATTCCTTCGAACTTTAATTCCTAAAGGTTTGATTTTCATGTTTTAATTCTAGACCTTTTTTAACGACAATTTTGGGTGTACTGTTTTTTTTTATGTTGGGGGTGCGGCTTATACGTTAATGTTCGCTGTTTTTTTTTTTTAAACAGCGGGTACGGCTTATAGTCCGAAAAATACGGTAAATATTTGAATTAGTGTTTTAGGGCTAGTGGAACTAATTTTTAGATTAGTGCTGCCCACCACTGGATATTTGTGTCAAAAATGTTACACGCAGGAGGAGAGTTGAGCGCTCCTAGCAGCAGAGTTGAGAAGTTGTCATTTTGAGTTGTAGTTGTATTTAAAATGTAGACACAAATTTAAGGAGAAATACACACTAATAAATGATGATTTATGAGTCCGTAACTTTAATTATATTTTTGTAAATGTTATTTTACACATTTGTAACATTTATTTCTGTGACTTTACTTTCAGAAAATATTTGTGTAAAACGTTTTTGCCGGTGGAATTTTTAAATACAAATACCAATCATTTCTGAAGGTGCACAAATGTAATTTATGCAGGTGAATTTTTTTCACAGGTGCACAAATCATTTTTTTGCAAGTTACAGATTAAAATTTTTGCAGATGGGTTTTGACTCATATCTACCTTCATAACCAGCCTACTAATTTACATATGACTGATTCAAACAATCTGAATCTTTGTAAACTTACGTTAGCTTCTCTTAAACTTACACATGGATTTACAGAAAGTAAAATACAGGCTTTGAAATTAGTTACGATGGGATTTTTTTGCACCTTTGTAAAAAGCCTCTGTGTTATTTGTTGGTTATTATAATTACTGAATCACTGAACAGTAAACAGATTTAGTGGTTGTAATGTTTAAATTGGTCAAATAATGTAAAGGATGACTGTGGAGGGTGTTCAGGATTAAATTTCTGTTATTCCTTTCMGTGACTGACACACAAACAAACACACATACTTTTGATGTCTCTTTCAACTTTCAGTGTGAGTAGTTCATTTCAATGAGTGTTTCCATCCAGTTGTAGAGTGAATTTTCATCGAATTATTCAAAATTAGCAAAAAATTAAATAAATAAAAATTCGAATCTAGACTGTTTCCATCTAGTTTCCCTCTCGACTGTTTGATGCGAATAAACGAGGCTACACAACGCGTGATTACGTCGGACGAGGCTACGCAACGCATGATTACGTCAGACGAGGCTACGCAACGC